CTCTCTCTAATAAAAAAATAAAAAAAAATTAATAAAAAAAATTCTTCAGTTTAACACTCTGGGTTTTTATCATCTTTCCTGGCATTACAACCTACTCTTACATTTTATGGAGCAGAATTTGTTGGACCAAATTATATGCAGTGGATTTAATAGAAAGTCATTCTAAGTATGTACGCTGTTTCTCTTAGATCTCTTAACCTGCATTTAGTCACCATTCTCTGTAGGAAGCTAGAAGTGATTATGGAGCAATTATATGATCCTTGAATTTTTAGTATTCTAGAATGATTGATGAGAAGATAGAAGGATAGAAAATGCATATGGCTGCTGTCCAGTAAGCTATATGTCAGGGTAGTTGCCTGCCTTTGTCAGGTTTTTTCTCCTACTGATTATTGTGGTTACAAATACAGTTGAAGTTCATCCACTTAGACATCCATTGCTTATTGATTTTTAACTTTTTTTTGGAGATGGGGGTCTATGTGGCTCATGCAGACCTAAAACTTGCTGTGTAATTCAGGGTGGCTTCAGATTTACAATCCCCTTGCCTATCAGGTGCTGGGATTACTGTCGTGCCACTCCCATGCCACTTACACATTTTAATTATACTTTGTATGCTGTAAATTATGTTGTATGTTTTTGATTTTTAATCATTGTTAAATATCACAGTTACAGAGCAGCTGACACTTGCATAGCCTTTCCCATGTGCATTGTTTGTTAGAAATTCTCTTAACTCATTTACTTCTTAGTCATTTTACAAATGTGGATATTGTAATTACTCCCATTTAATAAAGGAGGAAATTGAGGCCAAGAGGAGTTAAGATATTTTCTTTTTTTTTTTTTTTTTTTAAATTTTTTTTTTTTTTTTTATTTATTTGAGAGAGAGAGAGAGAGAGAGAGAGTGTGTGTGGTGTGTGTGTGTGGCCAGCTCAGCCCACCAGGGGGCGGGGCTGGCTGGCATGTGGTGCTGGGGGATTGAACCGCGGTCCCTGATGCTTTGCCAAGCTAGTTCCAAGTAGGTGCTTTAGACCACTGAGCCATCTCTCCAGCCCAAGAGGAGTTAAGATATTTTCTACTATTGCTTTTAATAGTAGAGATGGAAAACCAACTAAATTCTGAGAGTCCGGGGATGGTGTTTGTTCTCACCAGCCTGGGAAGTGGTTGATGAAGAAATCAAAGTTTTCTGGGCCTGAGGAACTTTTCGAGCATCCTCAGAACCAGAGATTTATGCTTAATTTTTTTCAAGAGATAGGGTCTTGAGCAGGGGAGTTAGCTTGGTGGCATAAGTGCCTGCCTGGCAAGCTCAGGGTCCTGAGTTTGATTACTAGTACTGCATGCTGTGCTGGCCCTGGAACCTGGAGTGTCCTGTGCCAGCCCCAGAGCCAGGTGTGGTGGTGCGCACCTGTAATCTCAGTGCTGGGGAGGCTGAGACAGGAGGATCACTATGAGTCTGAACTGCATAATGAGACCCCGTATCAAATAAATAAAAAAATAAATAAAAACTAGAGAGATAGAGTCTTGCTCTGTGGCCCAGGTTGGCTTCCAACCCTTGGATTTAAACAGTTCTTCTACCTTAGTTACTTCAGTAGCTGAGATCATAAGTATGTGCCACTGTGGTTGCCTTGTTATAAAAATGACCAAATTATTAATTTATCAGTATATATGAATCATTATATCTTTCAGGAAGTTAGGACAGGCCCTGGAAATGGTGTGATAATTCAGCATGGCTGTCTATTGTACTTGCATTTTCTAAGTGGTTCAGGACCTCTTATTCAATAAGATGCTTGTGTCTCAGTTCCCCTTTTTTTTTTTTTTTTTTTTTTGTGGTACCAGGGATTGAACTCAGGACTCTGCGCTTGCCAAGCAGGCACTTAGTCTACTGAGCTATCTCTCCAGCCCCCTTTTTTTTGCGGTTCAGTTTCCTCATATGTAAAGGGCTGTGTTATCCTTGTTCCGGGGCCATGCTAATCTTCTCTGTATTTTTCCAATTTTAGTGTATGTGCTGCTGAAGTGAGCACAAGGCTGTGTTAATAGGTGGGAAGACTGCAGGAATTCAGTGAGCAATTATCAGTTATGAATCTACTGAGCCCAGGCAACTGTCATGAGACTGTCATCTCTCTACTCTTCGGTATTTTCTAGGGTCCTGTGGGTTGAGCATTTGTAGTCATCCACTGTGGGGCCAGAAGTTCCTGACATAGTATCATAGGCAGGGCTCACCTTTAAATTATTCTTTAAACGGTGCTGGTGCCCAGCTGTGTTTGTTTCCTTGGGGTTGGTGAGGAAGCTGCACTAGAGCTGTATGAGCATGCACTTGGACCCGAAGGGTGCATGATGGGGTTAGGCCTAGAGTCCATCGACCACAACAGGTCTGGATGGGCATTCCCTGAAGACATGGCATTCTTCCCCTGTCCTCTGTGCTCATTTATTTTATTTTACTGTTGTATTTTGGTGCTGAGGATAGAACTCAGGGCTTTTTGCCTGCTAAGCATGTGCTCTATCAGTGAGCTACATTCCCAGAGTCTTCGTTTATGTTTACATAAGATGTATTTCATCATTAGAGGGGAGATTGGTGGTAACAGTTAAGACATAGGGATGGCTGAGCAATGTTTTTCCCCTCAGTGAATCCAGGCCATGCAGATAGGGAAGCATCTGTATGTTTTGTGAGAGTTTCTTGGTAGAGTTAGGAACTGGCCTTTCTGTGTAATTGATATTTGACGCAGTGTGGGGTACCAAGAGTCTAGGCTCTGTGCTTAAGTAGCTGTGGTTCTCAATCCCCTAGTACTCTGGCCTTGGGTAATATTTATAAACTGTAACTCTAAAGCTTTTTTTTTTTTAATCAGAAAGTGTCCACCTTTTGGAATTAGTAATAAGCACTAAATGACATAACACATGAGAGATATTCATTAGAGTGCCTTTTACATAGTAAACACTCAATAATTATCACCTGGGGCTGGAGAGATGGCTCGGTGGTCTAGAGCACCTACTTGGAACAAGCTTGGCAAAGCACAGGGACCACGGTTCAATCCTCCAGCACCACATGCCAGCCGGCCGCGCCCCCTGGTGGGCTGAGCTGGCCACACACACACACACACACACACACACACACACACACACACAATAAATGTTAAAAATAAATAAATAAAAAATATTTAAAAAAATAACTATCACCTGCTGTTGATATTATTTTACTCAGTGAATAACAGTGATCAGTGGGTCTGTTCAATAAAACATACATTGTGATTTCTATATGCAGAATAATGTAGGCTCTGTAAGACTCAAAGTTGAGTGAAATATGACTTGAAGAGATCATAATTATTACGCAGGAACCAGTGAAATTGTTACCTTTTCTTTCTTTCCTTCTTTTTTTTTTTTTTGGTGGAACTGGGGATTGAACTCAGGCCCTTGCACTTGCCAGGGAAGTGCTTATTCCACTGAGCCATCTTCCCAGCCCGTTACCTTTTCTTGATCTCTTCTTACATGTTAAATGTTTTCTGTGCATTTGCTCACCTAGTTTTCAAAATATACCTTGGTACTGTTCTAAAGTCCTAGCTTACAGATATGAAAACTAAATCCCCAAAGTTAGGGTAGGTGATTGGGCCCAAGTAAGTAGTGGAACTTGGAAATTTCTTTTGGTCTTGTGTATGCATGTAGTCACAATTGTCTTTGTCTCTATTATCTTGAATTCACTTTGGACTGTAGTTTGGGCTTTGGAGTGGGGAAGGGGAAATAAACGATGGTGTGGCATTACCCGGGTAACAAGATGATGTGAAGATTGTTTGCCAACAGTTGGGTTTGGACAGAGTTCGCTGAGGAGGTTATATTTGTCACTAGTAGTATATTCATGGGGACAGGATGGCATGCTACTCTGAGTGGAGAGAATAGCAACAGCAGTGGCTTGAAGGCATTGAAAATTCTTAGTGTGCCTTAGCCCCAGGGTATCCAGAGTTGAGGGAGCATGTAGAGACATAGTGGAACAAGATAAGCTCTTTCCTTTACCAGTCTTGCAGAATTCACTAGTCTTGAAATGGCTTAATAAAGCCTCTTTGAAGAGCATATGAGAATAGTCTATTAAAAATGGTAACAGGGCTGGTGAGATGGCTCAGTGGTCTAAAGCACCTACTTGGAACAAGCTTGGGAAAGCACAGGGACCGCGGTTCGATCCCCCAGCACCACATGCCAGCCAGCCCCGCCCCCTGGTGGGCTGAGCTGGCCACACACACACACACACACACAATAAATAAATAAATGTTATTAAAAAAAAATGGTAACATTTTAGCATTTCCACTACAACAAATCTTTTCTCTGGAAATACTCAAACCCATAAAAGATATAAGTAGGGCTTTGTTCTTTGTAGCATTATTTGTAAAGAGAAAAAATTGAGGTTGACTTACATAGGATGTGTTTGTTGAAAACTTATGGCACTTCTCTATATTGGTATATTTGACAGTCTTGGTTAAAGCAGCATGATGAATCTCTGGGCCCTGATAGGTAAACATATGATATAGTAAATGGAAAAGCAAGAGACAGTATCTATTGAATCATTTCAGTATGTAACATACAGCTGACCTAAGTGTCTGTGTTCCTGTGTGCTTTAAACATAGGGATCTGGAACAACATCTCAACCTTTGTTTAGGTTGGATGACTGTGTCCAAGCTGATTTACACGTGTTGTGTTGGTATAATTATTAATAGTGTTCTCTTCAATATGTGGTATCCTGCTTTGAACAGTTATTTATAGTTATTTGGCCTTCCTTCCTCTGAAGATTGGAGTTGGGGCAAGAGTCATGGGAAACTGACTACTACACATGTGATTTAGCATAGTTTATAGCAAGCTTTATGTTTATCAGGTATAATGAGAATGATGCCTCTGCTGCATTATGTAGTGGCTCATTGGTGGGTTGCTACTGCATGGTAAGTAGTAAGGAAGAAGTTATGATTTTTGTCAAATGCATGAGCATCTAAGTTATCAGTGAAATTAGTGAAAATTTTAAGTGAGAGAAGTATGTGGAATTTTCAGATGAATGTCTTTTTCAAAGAACTGGGAATTTTTAATTTCCTTCTTTTGACCCTTAGGTTATTGAATTGAAATGGGAAAAAAAAACTTGAAAAATTATAAAACTGTGGCTTGCTCCACCTCTAGGTTCCTCAACATAAATTTAGACACAATGGGAGTCTAAATTATTAAATGAGCTGCATGCAACCCATTGACCTAGAGTAGGCTTCTGAGTTGGCTAGGTTCCTCTTTTCTTTCCTTCCTAGTAAAATCCCAGAGGAAATGAGTATGAGTGGGAAATAGTTGCAGTTATAAAATAACAGTGATTCATTTACCCGGACATCAATGGGCTGCTTTTGATGTGTCAGGCATTGTGCTAGTTGATTTCACATCTGTCATCTTTTTTATTCTTTACAGAATCTATTTTTTCCTGGTACTGGGAATAGAACTCATGACCTTGCGCTTCCCAGGCAGGTGCTGTGCCACTGAGCTATATCACTGACTGTACAAAAAACCCTCTTGAGTAGAATTAACATCTGTTTCATGCATATGAAAATAGGCTCAGAAAAGCTGAATACCTACCTAGGTTACTTTGGATTCAAATCATGGGCCTATAGTTTGGAATTGTAATGCTTACGCCATGACAAGAGACCCCTGAATCTCAGCATTACTGACATTTTGATGAGGATAATTGTTTGTTTGTTAGAGACTGTGTTGGGTGCTGTGACGTGTTTAGCCATGTCCCTGGTCTCTGCCTACTAGATACAAATAACTCTTACCTTCTGCTTTACACCCCCAGTCATGACAACAAAAGGCATCATTAGACCTTGCCAAAAGTTCTCTGGAGAGTAGAATAGTTGAGAATAACTGTTTTACATCAAAATAGAAGGCTATCATTGAATCCAGATAAATTAAGGCTTAACACTAGGGAAACAAGGTTACAGGGTGAACTCTTTTTTTTTTTTTAATATTTATTTATTTTTATTTATTACATTTATTTATTGTGTGTGTGTG